ACCGGGGCAGGAGGTGGGGTCAGAGGTTAGAGACAGGGCAGAGGTGAGAGACCGGGGCAGGAGGGGGGTCAGAGGTCACGGCCGAGGCTCACCTGCAGGTCGGTGATGATGCTGTGCTGCACGTCCTCCTTCTGCTCCCCCAGGAAGTGGAAGCTCACGGCGTTGAGCGTGTAGGAGCGGAGCTTGTACTCCCGCAGCAGCACCTGGGGCGGAGGCGCAGGGTGGGCACAGGCCCCGGGCAGGGCAGAGGTGAGAGACCGGGGCAGGAGGGGGGTCAGAGGTCACGGCCGAGGCTCACCTGCAGGTCGGTGATGATGCTGTGCTGCACGTCCTCCTTCTGCTCCCCCAGGAAGTGGAAGCTCACGGCGTTGAGCGTGTAGGAGCGGAGCTTGTACTCCCGCAGCAGCACCTGGGGCGGAGGCGCAGGGTGGGCACAGGCCCCGGGCAGCGGCCCCACAAGGACAAGGCCCGCCCGCCCGGCCGGGCCGCACCTGCAGCATGTCCATCTGCACGCGGCCCACCATGCTGACCACCTTGCTGTCCCGCCGGCCAGTCTGCTTTGACTGGAAGGACGAGTCCCGGATGGTGGAGCGGAGGCCAGCCACACGGCCCAGGAAGGGGAAGTCCTGCACCTGAGGGCACAGCAGGTGGGAGCTGCAGATGGGGTCGGGTACCTGACCCGGGGATCCCAGGCCTGTGCCAGAGGAATGGAGACCGGACCACCCATGCCACTCCCCACAACACAGCTCTTCCGGCTGGAGGGGCCGGGGGGCCGGGTATGGACTAGAGGGGAGGATGGGGGACCGGACCGGGAGAGCCAGAGGCCTGAGGGCTGTGAGGGTAAAGGGGGCAAGGACGGCTCAAATGGCTGGAGGGCTGCACCCAGATGGGGAGCCGGAGGAGCAGGTGGGATGACACCAGCTCAGTGGGAAGGTGGTGGGTGCACGGGGTGGGGACCTGGGGAAGGGCCAGGTGGGGGCACGGGGTTGGCACAGAGAACCAGGTCTGGGGTCAGGAGAGGCACCTGCCCTGGAGACGGTCGCCTGGGAGTGGCCAGGCAGAGAGCAGAGGCCTGAGCTGGGCTGGAGCCACGGGGCAGAGGGAGGGGGCCTGACCCAATATCCCTCGATCCTCAGAAGAAGGGGCGATGTGAGCAGACAGGCGCGGAGGCGGGAGAGCGCCATCTGAACCCAGGAGCCCTGAGCCACCAGACGCCAGGCCTCAGAGGGCACTGAGCCTGTGGCACCCGGATCTTGGACTTGCAGCCTCCAGGCAGCCCTGGGAACTAACACACCTCATACCCTGTGCTGGGACTCAGTGGGCATCCGGGTCTCACCACACACTTCAAGGAACATCCCCATTTCCTTATTGGTTTTTTAAGATTATTTTAGCCCGAGCCGGTTTGGCTCAGTGGATAGAGCGTGCAGCCAGAAGCAGCTTTCCAACAGTCTTACTTTACAAATAAGGAAAGACGGGCGTGACTCTTCTGTTTTTGTTTGTTTGGGTCCAGTCAGAAAAGCTTTGTCTTTTAACTAGAGCATTTAGGCCACTTACATTTAGTGTAATTACTCATTCGCTCTGGACTTCAATCCACCACTTCACTTAACCAGCCTTTTATTTGTTCCACCGTTCCATGTCCCTTTTGCTTTCCTACCTTTTTCTGGAATGATTCCGTATTTTTAAATTATTCCATCTCCCTGCTCCCAAAAACTTGAGGCAGAAATAAGGAAAGAAGCTAAGAAACAGAGGGGAGGAACTGAGAGGGAAAAGACCTAGCCACACGGCCAGGAAGCGGCAGTCCCCACTGAGGGAGCCCCGGAGCCAGATCCCTGGAAGGCAGAGCCTCATTTTCCCACCAGGCCTTGCTCAGGGGCTAGAGCCTAAGGGCCAAACACCCAGGGGCTGAGGGAGGCCCGGGACTGGGTAGTCAATGGCGACTGGTTAGCCCCTGGGAAGGAGCTTCCCGCCCTTGGAATGTCCTGCCTGGTGAGGGTCTTTGTACACCTGAGGCCACATGGCATCAGCGTGACCCCGACATGGGCTGGAGACCCCGTCAGCCACACAGGGGTCAGCCACACCTCCGGGACCAGCCTCCAATAAAAGCACTGGCCGGCCGAGCCTCCCTGTGGGCCTCACCCCGGGGATGCTGCCACGCACGACGGGCGGAATAAGCAGTCCGCACGGCCCACCAGAGACCACAGATGCTGTGCCCGGTCTCCCGGGCCCTGCCCCACGGCCTCCTCCTTTGGCTGCTGTTAACCTCTCTCCTTTCACCGTATCAGATCATAACTGTGAGTAAATGGCTCTTCTGAATCCTTCTAGTGAATCACTGCATCTGAGGGGTCTCGGGGGCACCACTGAACTGCAGTGGGAGGGGATTCCTCCAAGCCTTTCGCCTAGAGGCCTCACACAATGGCCAGGCAGGGAGGGAGCTCCCCATGGCTGGAGGTAACCAAGTCTGGACAGGAAGACTTTTCAAAGGACCTCTTGGGCCGTGAGCTGAGGCGCCGCTCCCAGCTGGGCAGAACCTCAGAGCCTCTGTGGTCTCACTGGGGTCTGTTTTCCTGTCCCGGGAGCACAGCTGCCTCCGGTAAACAGGCCTAGGATGCGACTGGGGGTGGGGAGGGAGGCCACGGGCCCAGTTCCTTCTCAGCGCAGAGCACTAACCGAGCACCCCTTAACATCCCCAGGGGGGACCTCACAGTTGGAGGGGGGACCCTCCTGTCTAATCTGATGGTGACCAAGGACACACAGTAACCCAAGGGCGAGCCTGTTGTGCTGTTGGGTGACCCCCCGTCCGGACCCAGGACCCCACCCCCAGCAGAGACTGGCCTTGTTATCCCAAGAGCAGGAGGGAGGGGGGCCTGCCCGCCACTCCCCCACCCCCATGGGGACCGGGGAGGATGTGGGCTAGGGTGCAGCTGCTGGGGACATGGGGGTGACGGTGGCAGATGAAGAATGAGCAAAGCCGCTGCCTCCCCCACGGCCCTCAGCCTCTGCCTGCCCTGCCCATGTGTCTGCGGGGCCCTGGCAACGCCTGCCTTCCCGTCCACATTCACGCCCACGGGCTGGGTCCCCGAAGGGCTGGGCACTGCATGAGGGTTCCCTGTGCAGGAACTCTCACTGACCCTGCCACCTGCTGGACCCACAGGGCACAAGGCCCAACGCTGGCAGCCTGGCAAGCATTTGGTGAACAACGGAACGGACCCATCACTCAAGCACCCTCTCCAAAAGGCCGGCAAACGGGCGTCCTGGGCCCCGACCTCCGGAGGCAGCCCCTCCCGCGGGCCCTGGTTCTCCCAGAAGGTGCTGTCCGACCCCAGCTGCCCGGCGCGGGGCCTGAGCACTCACCTGGGAGATCTCCAGGCACGGCAGCTTGCCCACCTGGGCGCCGGTGAAGCCGTACACAGAGTTGGCGCTCACTTTCAGCGCCAGCTGCCGCCCGTCCAGGACCTGCCGCCGCAGGGGATCTGTCTCCTTGGCCAGCTCAGCCTTGGCCCTGGGGGGCGGGGAAGCACGGCACTCAGGTGGCGCCCAGGTCTCGGGGAGACGAGGCTGGGTCTGGGCACGCGGTCGGGGCGCCTCTCTGGGAAGGGGTGCGTGTGTGGCTGGGTGTGCCGTGTACTGCACAGGGCGGCAGGCACAGGGGTGAAGGGGAGCTACCGGAGGGGGCGACTCGTTCTAATTCCCAGACAAAGTGAAGGTGCCCAGCAGCGCAGGGACCCATGAGGACGGGGTGACCCACGGGGGAGCTCTGAGCGGGGTGGGCGGGGGCGCCAGAGCCCACCTCTTCCGGGCGCTGAGCAGGTTCTCCAGGATCTGGGGCAGCAGCCCCTTGCGCACCGACGTCTTCACAAACTCGTCCCCGGTGGGCGTCTTGATGAACTGGTCCTCAGTCAGGCTGGGTCAGGGGATGGCAGGGGGTGACGCCCGGCCTCCTCCTCGGCACCCCCGGCCTCTCCCCTCCCCACTATTTCTGTCCCCCACTCCACCCTGCCTGAGCCCGGCCCTGGCGGACTTGGGGCCCTCATGCCGAGAGGGTGCCGTACCCCAGTTTCTGGGCGGCGCCGGGCCGCAGGAGCGTGGTGTAGCACAGGTTGTGGGCCATCATGATGGACGGGTACAGCGAGGAGAAGTCCAGGGTGGTGATGGGGACGTCGTAGTACCTGGGAGTGCCAGCAGTCAGGGCGAGACCGCTCGCCACCCCCACACCAGCCCCGCCCGGCCAGGGGTCTCACCCTTTAAGGGGCTCGATGACCGTGGCTCCCGTGTAGTCCTCGCCGCCCTCTGTCTTCACCACGGGCATCAGCAGCCCCTCGCGCATGGCCTGGGCGGGGAGAAGGCAGGAAACGGAGGGTGGGCGCGGAAAGGGCAGCCCCATGGGAACAGGCAGAGGGAGGAGCCCCCGCTAGGGCCAGAAACCCACCCTGGGCTCTGCCACTGACCTGCCGCAGCAGCTGCGACACCACCTTGACCTGCTGGCCGCGGGTGAGCAGGTAGCCGAGGGGCACGCCGGTGACGCGCGCCATCTCCATGGCGTTCACCAGCACCATGAGCCGCTCCAGCAGCCGCAGCGGCAGGAAGGCGTCCTTGAGGCAGTACACTGCCAGGCGGCGGCGCGTCTGGTCGTTGCCGTTCTGGGGACAGACACCGATGGCGTCAGGGGGGTGCGGGGAGGGCCAGGGTCTGGGCGGGGAGCAGGCAGAGGTCAGGGAGTTGACAGGTGGGAGGGAGTCTGAAAGGCTGGTGTGGACGAGAACATAATCAAGGTCATGTGAGTGGGCAGAAAAATGACATCTGCAGGGCGGGGTCAGAGGTTAGGGGCAGGAGGTCAAGGTGAAGATAGGAGCACAGGTTGAAGCCCAAAGTCAGGAAGTCGGGTGGAAGGCTGAGGTCAGAGGAGTAGACCAGGGGCAGGAAGTGGGGTCAGAGGTTAGAGATGAGGCAGAGGTGAGAGACCGGGGCAGGAGGTGGGGTCAGAGGTTAGAGACGGGGCAGAGGTGAGAGACCAGGGGCAAGAAGTGAGGTCAGAGGTTAGAGATGGGGCAGAGGTGAGAGACCGGGGGCAGGAGGTGGGGTCAGAGGTTAGAGACGAGGCAGAGGTGAGAGACGGGGCAGGAGGGGGGTCAGAGGTTAGAGACAGGGCAGAGGTGAGAGACCGGGGCAGAAGGGGGGGTCAG